TGCCCCAAATTCGAAGTGGGGACAGATCCTTCAAATTGAAAGAAGAAGATGACTTATAAAGCCAGGCAGCAAATGGAGAAGAAGGGATTTACTAATGATTTTCTGTTGCCCTCTGAGAGTATGCCATTTCTTAGGCCATTATTGATTTAGAACAGTGTGAGAGCTTGTGGTTTTATTAATGAGAATGGCTCACACCTTTATAGAATTATGAAAACATAAAAATCAGATGCTTACAATAGCTAGCTTATGTTTTGCAAACAATTGTACAATGAATCAATGGGACAATTTGGGGTTTCCAAGAATACCCAATTATAAACTTCATGCCTCTCTGAAATCTCCCAAGCCATTTAAACTGAAGAAACTCAATTCTACACAGAATTAAAATACTGTAATTATAAATGCAGCAATATTTTCCAAGGTCTATAGAACACAACTTTTCCAACTTTCCCCTATCAAACAGTTCTTCCTGTATATAAGAGCATCTTGTTGGGCAGATCTCACTGATCTGAACAAGAGGAACAATTTTAAGTAGGAGAAGTGATGAGATGTGCAGATTGCAATATTAACCAGGCTGAAAAACTAGGATGTTACACAGCCAAGTACCACTTCTTTAAACTCCAGTATATAAAACAAACAACTTGTTTTGAAAGACTTGGGGAGAAATGGCTCAAAGCCAGTTGGCATAAGTTTTAGTGGGGATTAAAACATGTGACAGAGGAAAGGGGAAAAAAACATTTTCAGGAATTTCCTGCAATGATTATTGAAATATTGGCAAATTAAGTCTATTGTGAATGGAGCTATATTTCTTATAAAAGATGACATTCATATCTATTCTGCCTCTACTGAGCTTCAGTTGACATGCTATTGTGATCCTTTCTCAGTCAGATAATCTATCATTTTTCTCTTAGGTTATTGCAATACCTTCTGCATGTGGCTGCTTTTCTGCTGGCACTCTTCCCCAACTGAGTGCCTAAGGAATAGCTTCTGAAAGGCAAGCAGGTTCAGGTTTATCTGAGCCTTGGAGTAAAAGCTGTTCCAAAGAGTAGTCACAGCAAAAAGAGAAAGCTGGTCCCACTCAGAGTTTCGAAAGTCAATAGAAAGTCAAACACTCCTACAAATAACTAGGTCTTTTACCATGAAGGCCTTTATAGATAACAAACCAGTATCCTGAGTTGCATCCAGAAGGTTACTGGTAACTCGTGCAGCTCACAAAAATAGCCTTGTTACATAGGTACATCAAAGTGCTCCCCTAATTACATGTTCTGCTGCATTCGGGACCAGCGGCAGTCTCATGCAAAACACATTGCAATAATCCAAATGAGAGGTGACCAAGACCAAGATCAGTGGCTGTCAGTTAGGCTTCCAGATTTGGGAATGGACACAGCTGCCCACAGATTTCTGCAAAGGCACTCTAAGCCATGGCCGCCACCTGATGAATGATCTCACTGAGAAGCCTCTCATGGACATTAAATAGAAATGGGGAGGAACCAAGGAAAGACTGGGCATCTCTGTCCATCAACACTGATGTGGACCGATCTTGGAGGAAACTTTTGCCTCCCACTCCCATCCCTTTAGTCAAAGCAAATAGATACTATAATCAAAGGTACTGGAGGCCACCAACAGAGCAAGGAGGGCCAGAATTTATGTACTCCTCCCCCTTGTGATCCCACCAGATATTATCAACCAACACAATCAGTGCTGCTTATTTCTTAAGTTTGAAGCCTGGCTGAAAAAGACCCAGAGTCTTCTGAATCTTCAGCCCCAAAAGCCCAAGAAGGGAATGTTGGAAGTGGATCAGAAATTATGTGACACAGTTGGATGCAGTACTAAATTATAATTAAAACAATTTAAAAATAATCTGCTCACTTCATTGGCATTATAGATGCTTTATATCTTATAAATATAAAGCATGCAAGTTGGCATGCAACTTGCCATGCCCCAGAATTAGCAACAATTTACAGGAGATGCATTAAATTTGCTAATATTTCAATGATCATTGTTGAAAATTCATAAAAATGTTTTTTTCTTTCCTCTGACACATATTTTATTACCACTAAAACTTATGCCAACTGGCTTTGAGCCATTTCTCCCCAGGTCATTCAAAGCAAACTGTTTATTTTATATACTTGGGCTTAATGAAGTGGTACTTGGCTGTGTAGCATCATAGTTTTTGAGCCTGATTAATATTGCAATCTGCAAATCCCATCACTTCCCCTATTTAAAATTGGTCCTCTGGTTAAAATCAGTGAGATCTGCACAATAGGATGCTCTTAGATAAGAGAAAGTCAGAAAAGTAGTTCTTACAGAATCATTACATATACTGTGCTGGTATCTCCCAGGCTCAAAGTGAGGAAAAAAATACCCTAATTTTTTTTAGCTCAAAAAAACAAAACAAAAACCAAAACAGATAAGAAAAGCTTAGAACTTAACCTGTGTTCTGCTCTAAGCAGATTTTTCTGGTTTTTATTTGCCAGTGTTATATCTATGAGCTTCCATTGCAAGCAGCCTCCAAAACATGGGCTAAAATATTTGAAGAACAGATGTGTTGTGACTACCATGATGTCTGACACCTCCTTTATGTTGCCACGAACATTTCAAAATGTAATATATTTGTTTGTTTTATATTTTGTCTTTCCTCCAGGAGTATAATATAGCACATATTGTCCCACTGCTCTCATAAAAATAACTTTATATGAAAGTTTGAGCTTGAGATAATTTGGCCCCCACACACTACCAATCTCCTTGGTAGTACCGCAGCATTTTATATCAAACTACCCTATGCGAATTATTTTAAGCAATTATTAAGAAATACAGTACTAAGAAATTGCCCAATAAATACCACCAGTGAACGAAAAATAAAAGAGGCTTTCAGGAAATGGAATAATGACAGTCAAAGATCACTGCGAGGCTTTGTTGTTTCTTGTTTACAGTAAATTATACCAAGTAAGAGAGTAAAATCCAAGTTTTTACTATATTAAATGGTACTCCCGGGCCATTAACTCATAGTTATCTCTTCTAACTTTAGTATAGAAAATGTCCCTTTAAAGATTTACAGATATACAGCTGTATTTCAGATAGACAGCATGAATTCTCATGAGTTAAAACACTTATTTAAGCACTCAGCCTGTAACCTGCTTGCAAGTTAAGATCTTTTTGGTCTTTTGGTTAAACCTGATGAGAAAGTTTCCCTCTCTTCAGCTCCAGAAAGGAAAAAGAAAGAAAGAAAGAAAGAAAGAAAGAAAGAAAGAAAGAAAGAAAGAAAGAAAGAAAGAAAGAAAGAAAACAAAACTACACTGATGATCAATTCTGAGATAATGCTGCTAAAAAGAAGGCATGTATTTCCATTAGACCAATATAAAATATTGAGCATCATTGCCAGTCTTTTTTTTTATCCTCTTGCTTTTTCCCCCTTTCTTTGAAGTTCAATATTTTAAAAATAAATATGTAGATTAAAAACTGATTGCACATCCCATGTGTAGTCCCACAGATTGCTCAGAATCTGCTGAAGATGCTGAATTTGTTTTTCTCCCTCACTCCTTCTCCATCCACCCCTCCATCCATCCCAGGTCACAGCCATTTTAGTCTGATTTGGTATTTAAAAATAAGAAAAGGTTCCAGGTTGAAAGGAAGGCATCATGAGCAAAAATGCAATAGTTACAAACACATGAACAATCACTGGAGATACACTTATTGTAGCATATGTTTTTGTAGCATTCACAATCAATTGTCCAAATCAATAAATGGTATGATGCCTTATGCCAGATATAGTTTGTATATGTATAAAGTTTAAAAATAGTTGCTAACTGAACAGAAGGTGCTTTCCCAGTAGAATGGCCTCTTTTTGTTCAATTTTTGGTTTATATTAAAACCCAAAATATTAATTTATATGAAATAACTGGAATTATATTTACTCATCCCACTTTGAACTGCACTAAAGAAAAATAAATGCTTCTGGGCTTGAGTAAGTTGACTCAGCAAAAGGCTTCACGTTTTGGCTTAACATGCTGTGTCTACTCTGTACAATATTATGGAGAAAATTGCACTTGCTTAGAGTATGCTGCTGACATTCAGGATGCGGGGTTTAATATTTAAATCCTTAGAGAAGAGATGTGGAGTTTCTAGCCTGCAGGCTAAAAAAAAAAAGATGCCAGGGAAGTTCTCCATGGACTTACCAGCAGATTAGTTCTGCCAGTCCACTACTAAAGTTTTAAAAGTTTTATACAGTAGTACTTATCACTCTATTATGAAACATTATATACAATTTCTTTTAAAAATCAGAGTTACACACTAAAAGCATAGAATTGATCAGAGAGTTGTAGCTGAAATTGTTACCGAGCTATTCATAATCACCTCAATAACAGTTTCTTAAGTCAATCTCTAAGAATGAAGAGACATATGTATACTATATAGCTACACACAGGTGGAACTTAATTCCACCTGTGTTCATCACATTACATTTGCTTTCCCAGCTTAGGTGAGATCCTATTAAAGTCTTTACTTTCATCCCTTTTACTTGTTTGTTATCCTGATTTTGGTACTTTATAAGTAATTCAAAGTGGCAAACAAACATACTCCTTCTTCTTGGTCTTCTCAAGGATCACTCCAACAGTATGTAAAATCTGCAGGAAGATTATCCTGTATATTTATTTGTTTATAAACTAGTACACAACCACAGTATAATAACCAAGCAGATAGTTCTGCTAGGCCACTTGGGGAACTGACTCCATTGTGAAGTCACAGTTGTGACTTGGATCCTCTTTCATTGCTTTCAGTGGCAAATGGCAAACACAAACCATTTGTGTTGAATCAACAACCCACACAGCAATACAGTTTCCTTTATACTTACCACAGTTTGGAATATGGTTCCAATGGTACTCAGACTCAATGCAGCATAACAATATTTCAAACATTTTTGCTTAGGAGTTTTAGATATGAAACCTCTCTTCAAGTTAATGGAATGAATAAACATTCTCCCCAAACACCATTTATTATACACTAACCTTGCAGTGGGCGCCCTTTGAACACGTCTCTTGTGTTGCTTGGGTGAGCTCTAGCACTGTTATCACACTTTGGCTGTTCATATCTTAAGGGAATACAGGAAGAAGAAAAGGCATCAAGCTAATGCTAATTTAATTTGAAAACTCTGTCATTTCAACAGCTGTGTGATCACACTGAAACTTGGCAGAGAGCTTGACTTACTCTTGACTCTAAAATCATAGCCACACATTTATTCACATGCCAAATAAAGCTCATTCTAAAAACCCATTAATTCATGCTATTCTACAAGATAAGAATTCCTGGGCTTTTGCTCTCCTCCAAACCTATTTTCATGAATGACTTCTAAATGTTTTATTTCATAAAATTCTGTAGGTACTTCCTTGAGTAGATAAAACTGTAGCTCAGTTATTCAAGTGGTAACTCAGTGTCAAAACTGTTAATATCTTATGGTACAGGTAGACCTGGACTTACGATCACCGTGGCTAAGCAAGGTGGTGGTTAAGTAAGTCATGCTTAATTTTACAATCTTTTTTGCCATGGTAGCTTAATGACTGACTAATTGTTGAGCGAAACATGTAGTATTTAAGTGGATCCAGCTTTCCCGTTGACTTTACTTGTTGGAAGCCAGCTAGGAAGGATACAAATGGCAATCACATGATCCTGGGATGCTGCAACCTTGTAAATACATGCCACTTGCCAAGCGTTCACATTTGAACATGCAGCTGTGGAAAATACTGTGATGGTCATAAGTACGAGGATCAGTCGTAAGTCACTTTTTTCAGTGCCATTGTAACTTTAAATGGTCACTAAACTAATGGTTGTAAGTCAAGGACTACCTGTATTATAGAATTATTGCTATGCCTCTTCTTTCTGGGATTTTCTAAGATGTGCTTCAGATTTCAAGTCAATTCCTCCAGACTCATTGGGACTATAGCATTCAGAATTCCCAAAGAGACATAATATACCGACATTGAAGGGGCATTTATTACGTAGACAAAATTGGCCATGCAAAGAAGCACCACATATCCAAATATTATATTACTCTCAGTCAAAACTGAGATTGATTACCATGATAAAGGCTTTTAAATGTATACAGCTTTTGGGAATGTGACTTAGTCCCAGCATCCCATATCTGAATTACTTCTAGACATTAAGAATCCAAAGTAATGTAGGTAAAGTGGACTTTAATTTTATACTTGAATGCAGTGTTGATATTTAGGATATACTTCATGCCATGCAGTTGATTTATTTTTTCTTTGCAAGTATCTGGGTAAAAGAATGAAAGATGCTTTCAACACATTGCTTATTAATTGGATAGAACCATGCCAGGCAAGTAAAAGTGAAATCGTTCCCAGGAAATGTTTTTAAATCTCAATTCCCTGAAGTATATTGGGGCAAAGAGGAAATATCTCATTTCCATATGATATCCAGAGTGTATTATTAAATAAACACTAATTTAGGGGTAATTTATTGGTTTAGCTTTCTGCCATCGTATTTCCTATACTAAGAGCAGAAAACTAAAGATGCTAGAAAACTACTTGTATCTAATATATGCATTGTGCTTTATTGTATTTCTTATTTATTTGTGGCAGGGACCTTCTAGTTTTCAAATGCTATATAATTAAATGAATGGCAAAGGGACGGATAACAGGGTCTTTTTCCCATCACATAATGCGGTGTTTCTCAACCTTGGCATGTGGACTTCAATTCCCAGGATTCCATGGGTGGCTGGGGAATTCTGGGAGTTAAAGTCCACATATCCTAAGATTGCCAAGGATGAAAAACACTGATATAATGACTTTTGAATTCACAAATTGAGCACTAAGAATATTTGAAAAATTCAGTCTTCTAGAATTCCTTGGCAACTGATTTTTTTTAATCTAATCTCTGGGGAACAATGTGATCATCTGCTATACAAAAATGGACCAGACAGAGAGGAGGTAAGTGAATTTACTCTATATTCCAATGTTTCATTTTCCCTACTGACCTTCTGAACTTTGCACTTCGGTTCTATATCTGTGTCTGATGTAAAATATGGCTATGGGATTATATGTGATGGAACAAAAAAATCACAACATAAATACACACATATGGATATATGGGGGAGATGCAGAGTTGTGGTTTAAGTCTATGTAATGTTAGAAAATGTAATAAAATTTAAGGAGTGGGGGAAAACTCTTTCCAGGCCCTTGAAACAAATGACTATGTGTTTTGATACTGTTCTGGTCATGAGAATAATATATTGTTGGGATGAAATAAATAGTCCCTGCCTCCAATGTTCAATTTATCTCCTCATTGTGTGAAGGAAATGAACATTTCTCGAATTGGCTAATAGCCCATCAGATATAAGCTGCTCCATGAAGGTGCAACACAATTTCATGCTCGGCTTAATAGGTCCCTATGGGTGAAAGGGAACCCTTTAGAGTAAGAAGAACAGAAGCTGTTTTGATAGAAAGCTTTGGATGAAGTGGATTGTAATTGCTGTCACATTTTAACCAAGTAAAGAATGACAGAAAAGTCTTTGAACTGGGTGCTCTAATGTGGCATGTGGCAAAGAGCCTAATCTCAATTAATCTGATACACCACTCTGCATTCCTTCCCTTTTTCTGCTGTCCTTCAGTTTCTCCATTACAATCTGCACTTCATGATTTTACTTTCAATTCTTCTACAATTCCAGAGTTGTGTTCTATCAAGCAACATAACCATCTCAGACTTTTAGATGTTGAACATCTACAGTTCCTAACTGCCTTAGCCAGGCTGGTCAATGGTGCAAAATGCTGGGATCTGTAGTTCAGCAACATCTGGAGGACCTCTTGCTTGATGTTATTTTCTGCCTAGCAAAAGTAACAAACAGCCAGAAGGAGAGATGAAATATGAGCTTGATTTACAGTATTTATTAAAATTCTGCCCCTGGCCTTTTTTTGGGGTGCTGGGTGGGAGAAGGGGATTTCAAGTGGCAAAAATGTTTTCCATGAGGGCCTTAGTTCTGGAAATGGAACAATAGCATATGATGCCTTCTGAGCATTGAGTAATTCTGGTTTTGAGCAGAATTAATAGCAGCTGTAGCAACAACAAATCATGTTGGATCAGTTCTCAGTAAACATGAGAGCTAGAAAATTGATTTAAAAATGACATAATTAAACTTCTGACAAGAATGCAATGTATTAATGTTTATGGAATATACTGCCTACATGCCATCAAAATATACCTGGAAATATACCTGGAAATGAGACAAAGGGGAAAATTCACCTTTTTAGTTTTAAGTGTTTCTTAATCTACATGATAATTACCCTTACCATGAATATTCAAAATGTAGTCCAATTTACCAGGTAGTATATTTGGAGTGGAAAACTTTGGTCTTTGAATTATAATTTCCACAATTCCTCATCACAGGTCATATGGCCTCTGCCATATAATCTGTCACAACAAAGTCTATAAAAGCCCTCGGGCTACCTTAAAAGTGTAAGAAACACAGGCTCTTGTTCTAGCAGGCTGACATTTCCAGAACAAAAGAGGCAAGTATAAGGCAGAAATAGAGGGATCAAATGAGATCAAATGAGGCTCACTGATTCACTCAGTTTAGAATTGTTGACTTTGTCTTTGCAGAGTCTCCGATTACAATCATCCTATTTGGAGATGTAGGGAATTAAACATAAACTATGCTACTTGCCGCGCAGCCCTTCTTCAACTGAAATTGTGAGTGTGAGTAGATATTCTACAGTTTACTCTCCAAAACATTGTTTTGAATGATCTGCTTTTCAAACTATTTGTGCTTGTATCAAGCTAAACACACTGCATTAGTTCCTGATGAGCTTCCATACAAGCATTCCTAAAGACGCCAAGCCCACATTGTTGCTTTTGGAAAGTGATATTTTGTCTGCTTTGTCTGCTAAATAAGGCTCTCGGCTCTTTCCCCTGCTTCTGGCTCAGTTGAAGCTCATGAACTTCAACTTACTGTTTAACAGCATATTAAAAATATTGTTCTCCTTTCTACTAGTTCCAGCAGTCCTGCTCCATGGGAGGTTAATCATGTGAAAATGGGCTGAAGGAACCGTTTCTGGGAGAAAATAGAAAGATCTTTCTGACGCTACATTTCTTTTCCTATAGTATATGGATCCTGGCAGAACTGATTTTTTCCCCTAGTTGACCCATTTCTCTTCTTGTGTTGTCCCTTTTTGCAATATAAAAGGCTTCACAATCTTAAATCTTTTCACATCAACTCTGAAGTTTGTAAAGGTTATTCCAACTTTATAGTAGAGAGTTAAATTCAGAAACAGTGATTTCCACAAAAACATATTAAGAGCCCAGTAGTGAGCAAAGATTTGAATTAATAAGAAAGCTGCAGCCCCTGGCTTTATTACTTTCCTGGTTTGACAGTTGCTTAATAACATCACAAGTGCTGCCTTGCTTTTAAGCCTGCTAATAATTAATGAGAAAAATCCTATGAACTAAAGCAGGGGTCTTCAATCTTGGCTCTTTTATGACTTGTGGACTTCAACTCCCAGAATTCCTCAGCCAGTGTGCCTAGCTGAGGAATTCTGGGAGTTGAAGTCCACAAGTCATAAAAGGGCCAAGTTTGAAGATCCCTGAACTAGAGCCAGATTTAGAGATAATTACCATCCACTATTTCTTGGTCTTTACAGAAGGAGTTAAAAAAATCTATGCTTAATTTAGGCTTTTTCAATGGTCTTAGTGATGTTTTTATTATTTATATATAACAAATATGTTTTATTTATTCTATTACTACCTTGATTACACTGTTGGATGGAAAGATGAGATTGTGAAATAAATTATTGATTTAAATCTGAATAAAACTACTGACAATAATGGGGATGTAATCAGAATTTGTAGTTGGGCAGTAAGAACACTTTCTACACTTTCAGTGACACATTTGCCATTATTTTAATGGCTCATGACTATTCCCTTAGTCTTAATCGCTTACTGATTCAAACACCTTGCAATAAACTTCATTACAAAAACTGTGAATGTCGGCACTCAAAGCATGTTAAGAATATTGATTACTCCTGTTACAATGAGGAACAATAACATCTTTTGCAAGTTAAATTGTCATAGAATTGTTACACCATATTCATAGTCTACTTTGTACAGTTATAGCCCTTTAAGTCATTGGATGAAGATAGCAACCTCACATAGCTCCATATATATTTATATATGTGTTTGTGTGTGTGTGTGTGTGTGCGCGTGCGTGCATGTGTTTGTTCCTAATTGTCCCTTTTCCTTAGAAAAGGGTCTAGATAAGAATCTGTTATTGTATGACTTGTCCAATGAAGATCTCTTACCTTGTGGATGTACCAGGAATAGGTCGTCCTGTATCAACAAGGACACACCAACAATATCCTGTGGAGGGGTGACACTGTACTGGTTTATAAAGCCCACCATTAGCACACTCTGGAATGAATACATTATCTTTCTGGGGCTGTTTAGCTTCTTCTAATGCTGACTGGAGCTCTTGATCACATGACGCTGCTGAGAAGAAAAAGTAATGCAAACAATTATGGATATTGCCTGTGCACAGATTGACTTATTGATAAATTAGCCATGAACCAATGAGGAACACAGTTTTGGAGTATGATACTATTGCACTTTCCTTCTAACTGTGTCAATATACTAAAAATGAATTGAGAGTATTGGAAGGGCATGCGCAAAAATAGAAGATAACAGTTGAATATTTTTATTCAGGTCAAAAATCCTTGGACAACAGAATTTTTGGCAGGGGGAATTTCCCACTCAGTATCTTGTGTATGATGCATCTTTTCTTTCCTTCAATGCAAATTTTAAAAAGAAAATTGAGAGCACGAACTTTATTAAGACCAAGCAACAAAACCAAGATTTCTCTTCCTATCAGTTGTCTTCACTGGTTCTTACTGGGGGGAGAGGGGATTGAAAAGGTCACTCAACTGGCTTCATTCCTAAAATGAGACTAGAACTCACAGTTCCCCAGTTTGCCGTGCCTTAGTCAATATGCCAAACTATCTCTCAATTATATAAGTAAAAGTTGTAAAAACTTTTGTAAAATGTTGTCAAACAAATCCCTCATCTAAAAATTAAATAAATGCTATTGGATCTAGAAGGGATTCTGTTGAGAAATCCGATAGGAAGTTGATTCCTTAGGGGTAGCTAGTAACTTGGGACCAGCTTCACTGTTATAGCAGGAGCTACAGGTGGCCTTTGACTTACAACTGGCCACTTAGCTACCATCTGAAGTTGCAACTGACCTGAAAAAGGGGACTTGTGATCCAGACTTGAAGCTCCAATAGTCAGGTCCCTTCTGAAATCATGGGATGGAACTCTGGGTGTTCAGCATTTATGGTTTTTCAAAAAAAAAAAAAGCATTTCTAGTTTTCAGCAAAACTGCCCTTATTAATTATGGATTTGTTTAACTGCAGAGATTCACTTAATGACTGCCACATGGGAGCCAGTACTTTCTGGAATAATTTGGATGGCATAAAGAGCTAGTGAGAGAAGGACTTACTTATAGAAGGAAGGAAGGAAGGAAGGAAGGAAGGAAGGAAGGAAGGAAGGAAGGAAGGAAGGAAGGAAGGAAGGAAGGAAGGAAGGAGGGATTGCTAATATTTAATAGCTAATTATTCAAAATTTATCGCCTTTGGTGATTAGGAACTTTCTTGAGGCCAACTGGAATGCTGATATTTCCACTATCATTTATATGTGCCTTCCTGCCCAGATGAATACAATAAACTCTTTCATGCAAATTTCATTTAGTAATTTATCCATAAAATCTTATAATTATAAAATCTTACAATCTTACCTCTGGGATTATAACGCTGTCTATAAAGTAGAGCCTTTGAAAATGATTTATGACCTAAAACATTTTAGAATGTAAATTCTCCAAACCTATGTTTATTTCTGGTTGTCCTGGAATTCAATTACAATTTTATATCTTCTTATATCTCTGCATATCTATGTTTTTCTAGGTTTGAATTAGGTTAAATAAAATACATATTCATGTGTAAAACTCTTCCACTCTTTTAACATTAAGAAACTTGTTTTGTAAACCACAGACATATTTTTTTTCTTTGACCACATCCACATGGCATGTTCACACTAATCTGAGAATATCAAAAGCTGTTTTTCCCCTATCTTTGGGTTTGTGTATGTGTATGTGTATGTGTGATTGTGGTTGTGGTTGGAACATCTATGTTGCTTTTGTTTCAACAGACTGCATTACCAATTTTTAGACACTGAATCCCTTCTGAAAATAGTGGGCTTTTTAAGTCAAATTCTATCTGTGAAATTTTTGTCAGATATTTTATATTTACTTTAGTGAGCTTATAAGCTGAGTAGTGTACATTTCAACTTCCTTAAATCAAGTCAAAAACAATACAGTACTGTATAAAGAGATAAATCAATAATAATTCAACCTACAAACATCCATATAAACAAAAAAAATCAAAAATCTTTTCACTGCCACAGAGTAGATTACAGTGCTCCAACATCAAGGTGTGACAGAATGACCATGTTTTAATGATTTTCCTAAAAACGAGGAGGGAAAGGACCATCTAAATATCTGGCAGAATGTTATTCTGACAAACAGGGATGGCACTGAGATGGCTTCCCTCTGTGGTCCTGGAGATGTCATTCCTTAGGTGAAAAGACCTGGAGGAACTCCACTGTGATTGGATGGGGAGCATGTTAAATAGGAAGCTCTTGTTGGCTGGGGAAATATTAGTCCGACAGATGCTAAGGCAGTCCGACAGATGCTAAGTCCCAAGCAATGAACAGATTTAACATCTAAGCACTTCCAAACACCCAGAGACATTTCTCAGCAGCATCACTTTTTCAATCTGGGGTTGAGATATAAGGTGGAGTAGCATTAGTTTATTGATGAATATGTGTTCGTGGATCAACTTGTCCAATGGCTTCATGTATGTGTTCAATAGAAATGGGGAAAGAAGAAAGAATCCAGCATTGAAGGCATGTTACAGGTTCTATCCCTTATTATATTTGGCAGACTCTAAGCATGGCCCTTTTTTTGCTGTGGTGTTCACACTGTGGAATCTTCTCCCCTCCTCCCCTCAAGGTGGAATCTTGTCCTTCCCGGAAGTGAGATTGGCCTTGTTGAGCTTCTGGAAGTCCCTCAGGACCTGGTTATGTCAGCAGGCCAAAGGACCCCAGGAGATAAGTGAAGTAGTAAGGTGCTCTGCTATTTTTAACATCCCTTCCATCTATTATTTTTTTTAGCTTAGTTTTTATATATTTTGAATTATTAACAGGTTTTAGCTGTTGTATGTTGCCCTGAGTCACTTGTTTATGAGTTGGGCAACAATATAAATTGATTTAAATAACAAATATACTCCATTTTCTGTCTGAAAGTCACATCCCCTGACATTTTAGAAAGGCAGAAAATCCTGGAAATTTGATAAAGCTAATGCATTAGAGCTATTTTCACAATGTACATAAAAGGCGTTGTGTGGCATCTAGAAGCAGCTTGCCTTGCAATAAAGCTTTATTTGGATAAACATGAAATACCAAAAAGAGTCAGTAAAACACATTTGTTCAAACGTAATACAAAAGTCTTAATAATGTAAAAATGAATACTTTCTGCTGTAATTGTTCTTATTATAAGATTAATGTCTTGATTTGTCTTGCTAGGAAAGTATTTCCTGCCCCTTGTGATCTACAATGAATTCTTTCACCTTGGATGGTCCACAGAGTCAAGAGACGGCATGTTTTTGGAAGGTGAAGGAAATGTTTAATCAGAGTTTGGCATTCTAGACAAGCTTGATCTACTTTGCCCATTTTTCATTTTGTGTTCAAGCAGCAGAAAGCAGGTTCTTGTTTTAGGGGTGGGGAAGAAGGACTTCTTTCACTACAGCAGTGACCTACTTGTATGCCTTACAGTTCAATAAGTTTCTGGTCTTCAGGCACTGGACAAGAGTCTTTAATATGTTGAAAACTGGATGCTTTTGTATTATAATAAATGCAAGTATCATGACAATATTTTGATTCCAGAACTGGAACTTACAGATATAGATGAACATCACCATCGCAACCCTACTCCCCACATCACATCAGGCTAAACTATTTTACAAGTAAGTTATATTCTATTTAGCTATCCCAACAGCAACAAACTAGGTATAACTACATATGGCTTTTTTGTCCTTTTTGGGAGACTCCCCTCCTCATCTCTAAAGACAGCATCGCTTTCTGGAATGTGAATGTAGTGATAATGAACTTTCTCAGCAGTGAAGTGAAGGAATTGTTTTTTAAAAATGTTGTCTTTTGCCCCCTTTGTGTTAAGCGAGTCAGACTTTCAACAACTTTAAATCCAACTTTCTGGATTGTTTTTTGTTGAATTTACCAATAGCTGCTACTATGCACAAAGTAAACCATCTTCTGAGCCAGCTGTCAACATTTCTGCAGGGGACAGGTTTTTAGCATAAAGCTAGGGAAACCCGGGTTGAAAACTGAGCTCCAAAATGCAAAATAAATAATATGGTAATTCCTTTTAACTGCCTCTGAGTCATTATTCTCTCATTTACTCCACTAAATTGATGTAGAGAAATTACACAGAAGGTACAGTTTGGGCCATATCTTTAGGGTAAACTAAAGATCCTACTAAAATTGTATTTTGAAAGAGTAAGTCATACTAGCTTTTGCTAGACTCTTCTGACCATTCAGAGCTATCTTTCCTGACAAAGCTTGGAAATTAATTTTTTAAACTTGATACTTAGACTGAAATGGGTGGCTGGTTCTGGCATCTTTCTCAGCCCAGAAGTAAGGGTGAGCCAGGAAAGCAAAAAAGCCAATAAGAAAGCCAGTAGATTATTTCCTTAGTGCTTCAGCAATTTTTAATATACTCCCATGAAGTTTGTTTTTTGCATGTTTATAATTGGCTCCAATGGCTCAGTTTTTCTTTTGGCTCCTGCTGAAAAGGCAGATCTACGGCTTGGCTGTGTCTTAGTCTGTGAGCAAAATAAGGGCAATCTAAAGGGAAAAAAACATTCAACTATTTCATTATTAACTATAAAGAAAGAGGAACTTTGTGTCCTGTATTCAGGATAATGTTTCACATGGTCTATGTATATAAAACCGTATATCAGGGTGAAATAAGGTGGCTTTTTCTAGTATGAGTAACTTGGCCTAAATTCTTTGACCAAATGATTATTTTTAACAAAGAATATTGCCATAATAAATAAATGTACTGTGTTATAAATTAGGGCAGCACCAACTATTCGGAAGGGATGTTTCACAAAACTAGCTTTCACAAGTGAATCATTTTAAAGCAGCTACGTTCCCTAGAGGATTCAGCACAGCCACCTCAATGGATGTCCTGAGTGGATGCCTCCATGTATGTGCAGGCATTGCTGCTTTGCTTTGTTGTCAATCCCAGGAGAAGGTGATGATGGGGAGCAGGTTGAGGAAAGCAGGTGCATAAGTTTGCCAATGCAGGTGGCTGTTGGGATATCCAGAGGAGGCAGTCAAAAAGGTCACGGTGGAAGGCCATA